GTTGTATGCCTGAATGAACATACGTGTTCTTTTCTATGTCTCCTGATCCCGTCCATATAATTAATAAGAGGACCGGTTATCTTCATTGGATTGACAGCCTACATATACAACCCGGTCCATACATGTTAGTTCAGGCCGGTCAAGTGACTCGGCCTGCTCGTGCTGGACGGGCTTGCTTGATTTGAGCCGTAAGCATGATTCATGACCCCTTTTTTTTTTTGGTAAACTTAGTAACACGACAAGGTGAGTACTGAAGGCAAAGAAGGGAAACACACACACGACACACATGCAGAGTCACCACACACCCCTTCATTTAGACCATTCCTTGGAAAAAAAAAAATATCAGATATACCACCCTTCCCTCTTATATTCCATGTTATTCAGCAAGCATGTGGACGTAGGCAATGGGATTCATGGCCTTTTGAGTTGGCTTCCACTCTAGGAAACTGGACGGTGAAGAAGCTTGCAAATATGGGTGTCAACGGGCTGGGCTTATTGTGGCCTGATTGATTAATAGGCTTTAGAAGTAGGCCTAAGCACAACCATACTATTAATTGGACCTGGACGGGATCGGGCTTTGCCTAGCATAGGTATTGCCGGATTTTAGTAATCGGACCAAGCTATCCCTAAGGCTGTCAACATATCAATCCAGATATTATTTGAATATGATCTGATTAGAGTGAATATTGATTTGATTGTAAATCTGTGGGATTGTATAGGGATCTAATTTTTCAATCCGATTATAATCTAATTGAATCTGGATCTATGGTGATCTGATCAGATTCAATTATGTGTAATACGTATGTACGTGAGTGCTTGTATATATATATAATTTGACGCATCTCAATTGAAATTCATATTTGTCGGATATTTAATTTAATCGAATTTAGATATAGAAGGATCTAAATATGATCTGCTTACAGCTTGCATACGGGCCTCTTGCCCTATGGTCTAGGCCCAGGTTTGCCCAAAAACTTACTCTGGCGGGCCGAGCTGATAGGTTGACACCCATGCTCGCAAAGTCACATATCAGATAGGGTAAAGATTTATAATTACATATCAGATAGTTAGGTAATTGGTTAAAATACCTACCTCAATGTTTTTACCAATTTATCTGTTGGATAATCGGATACTCGTGTGTGTAAGTGATGAATAATTGGGCAAAACCTAATACAATTATATTAATCAAATAGACTATGTATATCATACCATGAATATATGTGAAGTTACCAAACCAACGTCAGGTAAGAGGGTAAGGTAAGACACATTACCTATACTAGACCCATTTATAAATGGGTAAAGATTCTGTTACCCATCTCTTACCTATTTATCTATCCGAATAGAAATCCTACCAAGTTGGGTAGGGTTATCGGGTAATCAGATAAATGGTCAATCATTGATATATAGTCTAAAAAACAAATTGTCTTGAGGGATTCATCTACTATTTTTTGAGTGGGCTTACAAAACCGAAAAAATACATGTCCTTAATTAATTTTAAAATCCTAATTAGTTAAATATTAATAATAGGGATTAGTGCTAAGTTAACTTATAATTTTTAGGAGGAAAAGTGATAGACAGCTGACATTTAAGAATAGGTGTGCTAATGTTGTAGGTTAATGTGAGTTGCTTGCAGATGGAGGGACCTGTTTTACTTTGTAGGAAGTCTTAGAAAGAGACCCCACCATTCCAGTCTTCCACTGACATAATTCTCTATCTTGATTGGTTTATTTTTTGAATACATATAAGAGATGTCATGTTTCATTACTATGAATTATAGGCATTTATACCCTTGTTTGGAGAGCAAATAGACCTGTCAATTAGGGAGAGTAAGGATACAATAAGATATTTCCCTTAAAAATTTAGATTTCTTAACTGTTTTACCCTTAACTGATTTCTTAATTGTTTTACCTATACCTCTCAAGCATAGTAACAAAGTTCTCGAATAATTCCCGAATTGTACCCGAACTATTCATTTTTTAAGGGGTGCCGTTTAAAAAGGCTTCTTTTTCCCGAACTAACGAATAATTCCCGAACTGACGAATTATTCGCGAATAATTCCCGAACGAACGAATTATTCCGAACTTATGCCGAACTTATTCCGAATGAAGATTTCTCACAAATTATTAGCAATAGAATTATTACTAAAAACCCGAGACTTATTTCACACTGAGAAATCTTCATTTGATTGAAATCGCCAACTGATAGAAGAATGAGAAAACTCTATTTGAGTAAGCTATTTTAGGATTTTGATTACATTCGATTGAATTGAGAGAAAAAATATAATTTTGTATGCTGGTTAGTCTGTTGAATTTCCACTGAACTAAGAGAAAATAAGATTTGTGTTATTTATTCTGAGCTATTTCTATATTTTACTAAATAACTATGTTATGCCAAATAAATACACTCATATATTGCTTTTCTGATTTTATCTATTCAGATTATTATTTTTCTCCTTTTTATATATTTTTGAATTGCTTATATAATTTGATTTGCATATACAAACATGTAATCTAAATTATTCTTTTTTTATAAATTACATAAAGCTTACTTAAGCCTTATGTAATTTTTTTCTTGAGTTTGCGAGTTTACATAATGCTTGTTTTTTAGAAATTGGAATAAATGTTAACATAGTAAGAGATGTCAATACATAGAGATTGGTAGATGGATTAGTTGGCATCACGTTCTTATTTTTTATAATTATTAATTTTTATTTTTCCGAACTTATCCCGAACTTAACCCGAATTTGCCGATTTTTTCCTTTTTTTTCGAACTTAACCTCTGCCGAATAATTCCCGAATCCGAACTTTGTTACTATGCTCTCAATTAGCTTAAAGATTTCTAATTACCTATATCAGGTTAGTTAGCTAATTGGTTAAAATAACCATATCAATTTATCTATTGGATACTCAGGTAAATAATGAATAATTGGGCAAAACCTAATACAATTATATTAATCAAATAAACTATGTACCTCACATCACAAAACATTCTTATTCATAAATAACAACAAAATCATCAAACTACCAAATAAAATTTAAAAAATTCAACAAAACACATTATCTCATACAACTCAATTCATATAAAAATTTATTTAAAATCTTATAAAAATTAAATCATCCTACCATTCATCCAATTTAAATTACAAGTGTATAGTTAAATTAGGATTTTGGAATTATGTGAAGTTACCAAACTAATATCGGGTAAGAGGGTAAGGTTTACTAAACGGGTAAAGATTCTATTACCCATTTCTTACCTATTTATCGATCGAAAAGACATCTTTACTCTTACCCTACTAATTGAGTAAGGTTAGCCGGGTCATCAGATGTATGGTCAACCATTGATAGTCCAAGAATAATTTTATTCTTGTCTTCAGGGACCCCTCTATTGTTTTTGAGTGGGCTTATAAAACTAGGGTTGTATTCGGGCGGGCTTGGCCAAGCCCGGCTCGGCTTGAAATTTTTTTTCCTAGGGTTGAAGCCCGGCTCGACCCGAAATCAAGCTCGAAAAATCGGCTTGAATTTAAAAGCTTGGCTCAGCCCGAATTGATTCAAGCTCAAGTCGGGCTTGGCTTGGCTCGAGCTCGGCTTGAATCTTTTTTTGTTTTAAATAATAATATTTTATATTATTGATATATCTAATAATGATATATATAAATAATATTTTAATTTATTTTTTATTTTTTTAATAATATTTGAGTTGAGCCCAGTTTGGGCCGAACCGAACCTCAATCAAGCCTGGCCGAGCCGCACAGGGGTTGGCCTGAGCTCAGCTTGATTGATTTTTCGGGCTTTTTTTTAAGCTTGACTTGGCTTGTTTGAGCCTAAAATTCGGGCCGATCTCGGGCAGAGCCGCACCAGCGAGCCGATCGGGCTTTGTGCAACCCTATAAAAAACTAATAAAAAAATAGATGTCCTTAATTAATTTTAAAATCCTAATTAGTTAAGTATTAATAATTAAGATTACACCCCCGCCTCTTGCATGAGTGGTAGGGGTGTGGCTTTCCTTGAAGGAGGTCTAGGGATCTAATCCTACCCGGGTACCTGGGTATGAGTTGCAAGAGCTCCACTACCCAAGCTAACTTCTGACATGCTGACTCCTAAGCTAACTTCTGAAATGCTGACTCTTTTTTTTAGTTTTTTTGGTAAACCGAAATTCATTCAACAGAAGCAAGAAGCCAAGAACAAACACCAAACCAAATTGACCCCGGTTGATAGTTGCCTTAGCCAAACCATGAGCCTTTAACGTCATCTGTCTAGGGACATAACAAATATTTACAGAAGATAAAAGACCTTAATCTGATTATGGAGAGCCGGAAAAACCACCGCCGGCTGGGAGAGAGCGTCCACTACAACTTTAGCATCCGAGAGAATAGAGACAGACTTTGTCTTCCATTGCCCCGCCATCCAAATTTCCAACCGAATGGCCAAAATTTCTGCAACCAAAGAGGAAACCCCATAAGCACAGAAGGAAGCATAACCGATCGGAACGTCCTGACTGCTGCTGCTAACACAACCGGCAGCCACACAAAACTTGGAGAGGTTGAAGCCCTACATTTACTAGTCAGTTTAAGAAGTCCAAATGGTCAAGGAGCGAGTGCTCGCATCGACGTTGAAAAGGGGAAGTTGGTGGGCTCATCATGAATTAGGTCGGGGTGGCTGGTGGTTTCGGGATCCCGTAGAAAATGCTTCTTTTATGCCTCGGGTATTAGCCACAGCTCGTAATCAGGCAATTGGTTCATACTCAAGGTAAGTTGACCACACTCAATAGAAGAGGCAAGGAGAAAGGTTGTCCCTATGAGCGACTACGCCGATCTTTATATGTTTTGGCCACGTCCGTTTCCGCTCCAAAGAGGAAGGTTTAGATCACTTGCTCCAACTTTTTCATTAGGGCCCGTTGGCGGAACAAGCGAGAAAAGCCCTATATATATTCTACTAGTAAAGCGCTAACGCGCATCCGTTTTGAAGCTAGGTGGGAATAGTGAAAGAAAGAGAAGGGGAAGAAGCGGGGTAGATGAATTGGTCGACCCATTAGGCCCATGACCTGAAGGTTGCAAGTTCGAATCCTGTTCCCGCCTAAGCTCCATTTTTTTATTGTACGATACGCAATTAACTTAACATAGGTACCCCGATAGAGTACTTTTCAGACTCAACCTACCCTTTATTCTAGCTCCGATTCTGTGTAACATATATAATTAATTGGGGACAATCTATCTATCTCATCCAAATGAATTGCACACTGGATTCTGGATGTATGTGTCCCAATCCAAGGAAAAGGGGGCGGGGGGGGGGGGGGGGATATTTATAGAAATAAAAAAAAAGTATTTAAAAGTACGTGCTTATCGACCTTAGGAAATCTGATACACTCTCTTCCTGTAAACTTCTGTGGAGTCTTTGGTCTCTTAGCCTAGCTGAATTAATGTAGTCTGCTGCCCCTTCGTCAATGACCCATGGCTTTGAGGAACTACTCGACCTGTTCCATCCCAGAATTCTTTTTACCTTTCTCAACAAGAAGCTTATTAAGCGAGAATCTCATCATGACAAGCAAAGCACTTAACGAAGAAAAAGCTTAAGGGAAGCCCTCTTGAGAGAGAGTTCTAAAGCCCTTCCTCGTTCACTAGTCACTATAGGATAGGCGAGATAAGATAGCACACAAATCCATATATGAATGGCTTGGCGTTGAATGTCCACTATAAATTCCATACTCTAATGACAGGCTTACTAAGATGATAAACTCTGAGTTGGGAAGTTGGGGTCCTCTCCGAATACTTTCTGGTAAGGTGGAGGCACCGGAGCTACGAGATTGAGTTGAAATTCCTGCATGCAAAACTGAGCCACCTGCAAAGGACATAGACAATAGAGACAAAAACCCCGAAGCTTGAGCCAGAATATTGGTAACTGAAAATGGTTTGTTTTGAAACACCCATTCATTCCTTCCTTTCCAGATGTACCAAAGGGTAATGGCCCAAAGATGAAAACCATGCAACTTGTTTGGATCCTTTTCATGCTGATAGAGTTGAAACCAAGAGAGCATCCAATCTTGAACTAATGATATCGGTAAAGCTTGAGAACGAATGGTTAACGAATTGAGAAACAAACCACAGGCGAGCAATAACTGGACAAGCACCAAAAATATGCCACTAAGTTTTCGAAGAAGTCCGACAGAAGAACAAGAGTCATCTACAGCGATATGACGATGAACAAGATTTGCTCGAACAGGAAGGGAATTCAGAACAGTGCGCCAGAGAAATGATTTGATCTTTGGTGGCAATGAACCCGCCCAAAACCATCTCCAAAAAGGTTTATTGGCCAATATAGGATTGGAAATCAAAGAAGGCAACGAAGGCTCTGTCGGATCGCCTGACATAATAAAATGGTAAGCCGAGCTCACCATAAATTGGCCTTTTTGAGTCCATTTCCAGAAGGGGTGATCAGAACTCAGATGAAGGGGTAGGGGAAGATGAACAATCCGCCCATAACCATCTCCAAAGTTCAGAATCTGTTATCTTCCCCCTCGACTCTTCTGACTTTACTAATATAGGTAAATGATATCTCTCATAAAAAATAAAATTTAAAAAAAATTAGAATTTTTAGGAAAAGTGATAGACATTGACATTTAAGGATTGGTGTACTAATGTTGTAGGTTAATGTGGGCTGCTCATAGAAAATGGTGGAGGGACCTGTTTTACTTTGTATGAAGTCTCAAAAAGAGATTCTACCATCCCAGTCTTCCATTAACATAATTGTTAATTCCTTATCTATATTGATTTATTTTTGGCAATCAAAACGGTACAATGGACAAACTATTTATCGATACTCAACTGTTTAGCCTTAGAGGAATGTTATTTCTACTCTCACCATTCAAAAAAATTCTAAATTGTCCCCTCTTGATAATATAAATTATTATTTTTTGTTTGGAATAATGCTAAACATACTCTCATAAGCCCCGCTCTCACCTTTTTCAAATTATAAAATAAATGACTTTGTATGAGACTCATAAGTAAAATAACACAAAATTATATCTACTATTATAATGAGAGATTAAGGGATAGGTGACATTGATCGTCTTTTTTTACTAATACATAAAAACTAAATATTATATTAATCTTATTACTATTTAGTGAATAGATATTTAAGGGTATTAAAATTATTTCAAATTTATTAACTTTCCTCAACCATCTACTCATATTTTTTCCCTCCCACTTTCTATGTGTTTCCAACCATCGCAAAACTCACATTTCTAACATATTTTATCTTTCTCACGTCTCCATATAACACACACGCATAGACCCACTAGGCACTAGGTCCCTCCCCCCCCCCCCCCCCCCCCCCCCCCCCCCCCTTCCCTTCTTCCCTCTCTTACGTGTGACCCACCAATTTGTTTAATGAGACATGTTAATCTTACTCTAAGCATTCTATACTCTCAACCAAAAATTAATATCCTCATGTTGGTTTTTGGCAAGGGAAAAAAAAATGGCAAGTGTGATTTTTGGCTAAAAGTAAAGAATGTTGAGAGTAGGACTCATACGGCTCTTTGTTTTATTATTTAAAATACCGAGTAGGGCTAGGGGTGGCAATCAAGTTTGGCTGGGGTTAGCCTAAGCTCAATACAGCCCAAGCACCCCGGCCCAAGCTCGGCTCACAAATAATATCGGGCTTTGGGTCGAGTTCGAGCTAGCTCAAATTAAGCAACTCATGGGCCAAGTTCAGGGTTGAATTCGGGCCGAGTTTGGGATGAGTTGGGACTAAGCATAAAAAATGAATTGCTGCAATTGCATTATAAAAATTAGTATATTCTCAATTATTTAGCCAAATTTGGCTACAAAAATAAGGAAAGGGATGTTGATACCTCTTTTTTTTTTTTGGTTTAAGAGGTAAAGACAGACATACATTTATACCTCTTCAAAGCCAACAAACAACAATAATAACATAAGAGGCTAATCAGTCCCATCTATCATTATAATTCTAATTAGCATCAACATACAAGCGTAAAACTTGAAACCGTTCTCAAAATACTAATCACAGAAGTATTAATATGCTCAAAATGGAGAAAAGGAGGGATACAACAAATTAATTTGAAAGGGAAAGAACAACAGTAATGTATGCTTAAAAAATGAGGTCTTTCCTTTTGTAGGGCTTCTTCTTGGGTTGCCCACTTAGGTTGCACTTGCCCCAGCTACTCTTCTTACTCGTGGAGGTGATACAACAAATAAAAAGTGTAAAGTTTTGGTTGCTGTTATGGAAAGATTTCTCAGTCTATACAATATATGCTAGGAAGATTGAAGAAAGAAAGAAAAGATAAGATAATAAAAATTGGAAAAGAGAAGTGTAACAGAGTGGGTGTTCTCTCTCTTATATTATACTATACATATATATTATTTATAAAATGAGCAGTGCTAGTCCTACTCTCGGTCAACCTCTACTCATATCCACCAACCACTTTTTCACAAAAAAATGGACAAATGGTTAGTAGAGAGTGAGAGTATGAGTTGACTAAGAGTAGAACTAGCATTTCTTTTGTAAAATACTAGCGGGTGGCACGTGCAATGCACGTGAGAGCAAGGGGAAGGAGTTAACTACAGTTAATAGGAGTTAAAAGTGACACATGTTAACCAGCGGGTGCAATTGAACTCTCCTCGAGTTCAATCGCGATTGAATGTGATTATATTCTTTAAATAGATAGATGCGGGTAGTTTGAGAATTAAAGTAAAATATTAAATTAAAGTTTTGTTTCATATAAAGGTAGTTAGGAATTTCAGAAAATTCAGGCTACGCTGCCTCTTCCATTATAATTGTAAAGATAAAATATTTTTAATTTGGGCCAGGCTGAGCTAAGGGCAACTCAAGTTCAGCCTAATATTAACTTTGGGTCTATATTCTTGTTTAAACTTAGCCCAACCCAAAATAAGGAAGACTCATCCCACCAAAACTTCAGGCCAAACAATCGGGCTTCGGACCAACCTAGCCCAATTGTCATCTCTAATTAGGACTCTTGAGAATATGTTTAGCAGACTTCGGATTCAGATTACCTCTAGTGGATGCTTGAGGTGGGACCTTGGGCATCCACACATCAATGGGCATGTGGCGTTTTAAAGGGGAGAGATATCATGTGGGGAGAAGTCAAAATAATGGAGAGAATGAAATGACTTCTCCCCATTTGTGTCCTCAGGTGCCCAATGATACGTGGATGCCCGAAATCCTACCAGAGGTAATCCGAAGCCCTGTTTAACATTCCCCCTTTTTTTTTTTTTTTCAACCCAAACTTGTGGGTCCTGCACAAGATCATTTTATAATAATTAAAAAAGGCTAAGAATACAAAAATGCGAATACTTTTAGGATTCTTCCTAGCACTATACCATATCATCATTACACTCTTGTGGCCTACAGCCACGTGGTATCAATGTATAATTGCTTGTGTATTGGAGACACCATTACGTAAGAGTTTATATTATGCAATTAAAATGCAACAAGAGCAATGCACCTTACACCTTCTATCGCAAACTTATATCGTTGATTCATCAATCAGCACCCTACATTCAAATGACTTAGCTGTTACATGTCAAAAGAAAAATAGCAATACTATAAAAGAATAATAAAATGAAAAGGGAAAGGCGTCTCACTCACTTTGGCATAAGCCGCATAACCTGTCTCGCCCAGCACGCTGGTGTTCTGGTTGGAGCTTTACGCAATCCCATTTCCACTTGCCAAACCATCGAAAGATTCCTAATCTCTCCACTCTCTCCTCTAAATTTCAGAACCCCTTACCAGAATTCTCTCCGCCTTTTCTGCAACCTCAAAGATTATAGAAATCCGCAGAAGAATAACGGAGAAATCTCTTCCGTGATTTGTTTTCTTCTTCTGGGTTTTCTAGGGTTTCTATTTTTTTTTCCTTCCTTCTTTGAAGAAAAGGAAAGAATAAGGGTAACGAACTAATCTTACGTGCCTTCAGCAACATCTCGATTCGATTCATTTGAATTTGAAATCATTTCAAACCCTTCTTTGTAATCAAGAGATAGAGAAATCTCGAGTTTTTCGCAGTTTTTTAGGGTTTCTGTTCGTCTAGTTTGACGAAATCCTA